TGCCGTGGCGTTTCTTGACGAAGAGCGATCAGTCGCACGCCTCGTGGCTGATGGCGCATCATCACGGATTGCGATGGAACGGGGTGGTGCCGTATCGTATGGCGCAGCGTTTGATCGCTGAAGCTGTCAGTGGAGAGAGCGACGATGATGCACTTATTTATGTGAAAGGTCTCGAGAAACGGGGGTGGTTAATAGACATTCTAAACAACAATGTCATAGTCGAAACGATCGAAAATCATTTCTATATAGGAGAGAGGAAAAAGACGCATACGATAATCACATATTATTATTATATCTACTACTTACACATATCCTACATAGCTATCTCACTTTTACGTACGATTGTTTCTTTCACACCGAGAAAACGCAAGACATGATAAAAGAGAGACGCACCGCGCGATTGCCACATTGGCGTAGTTTAATCATATGTGGTGACATATACCATATATCGAAGTCATGGTGCCGACATTCGTCGATTTACAAGGTACAGTTCGTGTTTCTGGTTTATTTTTTTGCAAAACGTGTATTATGTGTATTATACGTGGTTTTTTTGTTAAAGGATTCGTCGTGGGTGAACGATTCGTCGTGAAGGAGGTGGCAGTGCTGAAAAATGGCGGCGACATAACGCATTACATTTTTACGTGCCCGATGCCATGGCGTTTCTTGACGAAGAGCGATCAGTCGCACGCCTCGTGGCTGATGGCGCATCATCACGGATTGCGATGGAACGGGGTGGTGCCGTATCGTATGGCGCAGCGTTTGATCGCTGAAGCTGTCAGTGGAGAGAGCGACGATGATGCACTTATTTATGTGAAAGGTCTCGAGAAACGGGGGTGGTTAATAGACATTCTAAACAACAATGTCATAGTCGAAACGATCGAAAATCATTTCAATGACATTAAATCGTTGGAAAATCTAGACTCTACTAATACGTTTCGGTGTGGAAGGCACAGTAACCGTTGTGCGTTACAAAATGTGATGAAATTGTACAACCAGTATAAGAAATTTCAAAGCGAATAGTAGTACGTGTTTTTTTATACCTTATTTCGGGTCTGTAGCTCGTTCGGTGTTGCCATACGACGAAATTCAAAAACGTACCAATAGATGGCCCACCCTGTACATATCCTTATGTGTGTGAGAGAGAATACAACATCCTTTGAATGTGATAGGATGCGTCGTGTTTTTATACGCGTATTATTATTTGTGAAAGATAAGATGGGCTTGCGGTTTGTTGTTTCCCAC